GGATACGGCCCAGGATACGGCCCGGGATACGGCCCGGGATACGGCCCGGGATACGGCCCGGGATACGGCCCGGGATACGGCCCAGGATACAGCCCAGGATACAGCCCAGGATACAGCCCAGGATACTGTTGGCTTTGCCTGCAAGGCAGCCCCTGCTGTAACATGCCAACTGGCTGCCCCAGCCCCAATCCCTTCCTCCACTGAGTCCCATTTCATTCTGCTCCGCTGGGGCTGGCTTGCAAACAGTGCTGAGGTCCACATGTGGCTTTGGTTAAAAGCAAGCAATTAGCATCCAGACTTCATCAAGCTTTGCATGTAAGAAGGGTGGGGGAAGAAACCACACACAGCAGCTGCTTACAGCAGGCTCTCTTCCTCTTGTAGATCATCACCATCTTTTTTTTTTTTCATTGCTGCCTCCATGCTGAACATGCAAGAGTTTGGACAGGCCATCTCCAACACCATGACAGCCATGCACCCCATGGAAGGCAGCCATAGGAGGTCAGGCTGGGTGCAAGTCCTGCATGTGTGCCACCAGCTCATCCCATACCGTAACCTTGCTCTGCAACACTGCTGCTTGACCTGCACTGAGCCAAGTCTGTCCTACTGACTGCCCACCTCCCTACCTTGTGAGTGTGGCTGCAAAGCAGCCCTGTTGATATTTTTTACTATATTTGTGCACAGTGCAGTAACTCAGAAATAGCAACATGGAATTCTGTTTACTTAGAGCTGCCTAACGCAGCACTGGACAGAGAATAATCCTCCATGCTGTAAGCAGAAGTTTTTATGGCTGAAGAGCTTTTCTGTTGCTCTGTGCACTTACTGTTCTTAAGACTGCAGCCACTGCTCACCAGGGCAGCTCAGGGAGAAAGAAATTAGAGTTAGAATTATTTTTAATTACAAGCTCCTACAGAAGCACAGATGATCCTGTATGTTGGCACTACAAGTTAACCGGATGGATAAAACTGTTATGTTCGAGCTCAGAATTACTGTCAGAATTCACTTTCAGTATTTCATACGGTGAGAAAAAAGGATCACCTCATTTATTAGACAGCAATCAGCCTGCTTAAAATAGACATGTCTAGCTCCAGTTTATATAGGTAGCAAAAGAGTCAGTAAAACACGCTGCTCCAGACAAAGAGCTCTGCTCTCCCCTGGCCAGCAGCAGCTCTGAGCAGTGAAAACCAGCTGCTGCTAATCCTCAGAGCTGCAATGGCCCATGCAGGAGCCCAGCTGCACTCAGCTCGTGGCAGCAGGCAGGTAACTCACCCCAGAGCACTGCTATTAAACCCTGGCAACTACAGCCCTCCTCACAGGAAATCAGCGATTTTTCACAGGTAAGTACATTCCCAGCTGCTGTTGCTTCAGCTGCAGCCAATGTCTGGCACTGTTTCAGGTTTATTTCAAAGCCCCATGCAGCCTGTCATAGAGGAGACCTTCTGCAAGCCAGCTGGATTTCTATTTAAACAAATAATCCCCTCTTGTAAGCCCTTCATTCTCCTTCTACGCTTCTTTGCTGGAAGTTTCTGTGTGTGCCAAGACTATTTCTCCCCTGAAGTGTGCAAGGCATTTCTGTGCAAGCAGAAGTTTGCTGTCTGCAGCCGAGATAAAACAGCAAGCCCTTGCACATGATTCCTCGGTTCCTTCTTGCTCATTACAGCCGATGCACCTTCTTGCCACTGAAATACTTCTTAGAGAAGGGAGAACTCTTCACAAAAGCCAGCACTGTCGGAGTCCCCGCCTTTACAAAATACCTGCAAGATTAAAGAGAGTCCTCTAGCTTCCCTCTGCCTGGCCAAGCATCATGCAAGCAGCTTTTGCCCAGCACAGCACAGCCTGACCTCCTGAAGTATGACAGGCTGCTTTTGATGATCAGCAGAGCCTTTCAGAGCCAGGGCTACCCTTAACCAAGGAGCAGCGTTATGAATCAATGATTCTCCCAACAACCACCCCTAATTAAAATAGAGAGCTGTTGTTCTGTCCCTGGAAAGAGGTTTCTTTTGCAAGTGCCCTTACAGCTTGAAAAATCTGAGGGCTTATGCACACTGCTGAGTTTTATGGAGTGCCAGTTCAGACAGTCCACAGCAGCAGAGCTCGAGCTCTGCTCCCCCTGTGACAGACCATTCTGCTGGAGCTGTGCTGCAGGCATCCCCAGCCAGCTACAAGCTGCTGCAAGTTAACAGCACCAGCTCTACAATACTTTTTTTGGTTTCTCAACAGCAGACTCTTTTCTCTAAACAATGGCACAGTACTTGAAAGTCAATTTCAGAGACCGAAACTGCGCTGCATGCTGTGCTGGGGACTGCTCACACAGCACTATTAACAGTGAGAGCATTGTTAACCTTCAACACGCTCTCTTTATACACTGCTGCTACCTTTTTATAAGTAGCACTGTTTAGATGGGTATAAAACAGCCCCTCCAGTGCTGCTGCTTGTGTGTAGTCCCATTTCCCTCCCACCTCCACCTAGTCCTGGAGAGTTGTGCATTTTTTTGGGGAGGGAAGGAACACTAATCACCAAAGCAGGCACAAAAACCATGTGGCCCTGGTGCTCTACACCTGCCCCCCATAGAGCAAGTGCTATTAAATCAGAAGAAAAAAACTGCACTTAAAGCCCAAAGTCTACTCTTACGAGAGACATGCAGGTAGAGCCTCACCTTTGGTGCTGCAGCACTTGTAGCAATGTGTGTGCTGGGTTCAGCTCATACATTTCTGCTCTTTCTTCATCTTCAAAATAGAGCTGAGGAAATTTGGGAGAGTTACATGCTTAAGCCATATGAAGACAAACTACTAAGTCCAGTAAGAGCACAGCACACATCTCACAGAGGTTTCACAAGTTTCTCTACCTTGAACTGACTGCATCAGACACTAATTTAAGCAGTGCAGTCCTCTACATATATTTGAAGTCTTTCTGGCATAAACCAGCTTGCTTTCTGACAGCGGTGGCAGCAGGCACACAATTTCTGCCACAGACATGGTCCTTTAGTACCTGACTGCTTGCTGCACTGCAGGCTGCCCAGTGCATGCCACACTGAGGTGGAAAATGAGACAGCACCATCTACACTTCTGTATGTACAGTGTACCAGCTCACTGGCCTAAATCTCAGTTACTGTTTTGATTCCTAATTTCCTAACAGTATCTGCAAATACCTTATATTTCACACACGCTGTGTATGATAGGAAGTACTTTCATTTTTGTTAATAAGCTCTGCCTATATAAACTGAACATTTTCCAGACGTGCTGACAAGTGAATGTAGCTCTCCAAACCACTATTTCACAGCCATGGGTGGTGAACAGGTAATTATGCTATTGCTTTCATACACACACAGATGCTTAGTCTCACTTCAGAGAAAAAAACAACAAAAAATAAACACCAAAACCAACCAAGCAACATTTCACAGATCAACACACTCAAACAGAAGTCCAGTTTCTCACCTGGAGATTGCTGGGAAGGTACTTTCTTTCTAAATCCCAAGGAGGTAACTCAGCAAACATCACCATTAAATGATCGATAAACCTAAAAGCCAGAACACACATTTTAGCTTAGCATTCAGCCTGATCTGTACAATCGGCACATGAAAGACAGTAAAAATACATCAGCAAATTAGGCAATAGACTTGAAAATAGATTTAGATCACTGTAAAAACAAATAGCTTCTTCTCTTTAAACTCACTGCTTTCTCAATGAGACCATACCCTACTACAACTCATACCAATGGTTTTAAACTTGAACAGTGCAACAGCAAGTTGTTTTTAATTTCCATTTTCACAATACAGAAGGTGTAAAAGCGAGCACTGTGCATTTCTTTCACAATTGATTTTTCATCTACATGGTCTCAGCAATGCCACGCTTCACCACATCAGTGCTCAGAACACATCTGTGTGTCAGCTGGCTGTTTATTTTGGTACTGCAGGAGAGCTAGTCAGTTAGTTCTGAGAATTCACCACCAAACAATGTGAAAATGGAAAGACAGACTTAAAAATACTATCTAAGAACTACAGCTTTATTCATCTGTTTGCACTGTCATTTTTAATTGCAAAGTTGTGGGTGGATCTGTGCCTACAAAAACATTACAAATTCCAAGTTGTTTTAACCTTGTTTGGCCAGCTATGAGATTAGAAATCTGGAGCTACTTCACTGGTAATGACAGCATTTCCCCTACCAGCTGTTCTAACTCAAACTTTTCCTTCATGAAAGAATGCTGCAGATAGTGCATTTACCTGGAGTTCTCATGAAAAGCCTCGATGAAGTCTGTCTGTTCATGCTCAGGGTACAGGAAGAGAACAGGCCAGTTTAGGTTGCCATCAGCATCTAAGTGCACCTTTGCCCCTGTGGCACTGTCAGAGTGGAAACCATTCAGACATATCTCAGCCAGACTACCTGATATTTCCTCTTCTTCACTTGAAGGTTCAACAACCAGCTTGATATTTCTTTCCTAGGAGAGAGGAAGGAAAATAAGTAAGTTCTTGTTTTGCATTAGTTGTTACCTAAAAAGGGGTACAGCCCTGGGAGCTCAGGATAGAGCTAGCCATGCTCAACAAGTCCTTAACCCAAGCCCCTTGTCCCTGTCCCTTCCCCTACAACCCCCCCCAAAAGAACCACCACCGAAACAAGTCCCCTCACAGACCCACCTTTATTGCTGCAAGCAAACACTCCTTTTGACTCTGTTCTTTCTTCGCCATCGCCTTTGCCTTTCTTGCATCCCTCTCCTCAACTCGCTGCATGTAACAAAGAGTTGTATCACAGTCATGCATAGAAAGCCAAGGCCCAGCACTACTCTGCTGACAAGTGGAGGCTCCAGGAAGGCCCCAGCTGTTTTCTCTGCACATCTCAACAACATTATTACGTGGAACCACATTTGAGGAGAAATTATATTATGCAGAAACCTGAATGGAGAACTCTCCAACCAATGTGTTTCTAAGTTGACAGTAAGCAGCACATATCACTCCTGCAACAAGCATGCCAGTCTGCTGTAACATTTACCTTTAATTTGTCAGCTTTAGATCTCATTTCCAGAAGCTTTTTCTCTTTTGAATCTATTCGCAAGCCCTCCTCACACCACGCTATGGCTTCAGAGTAGTTCTTTAGCTCCATGTGACAGAGAGCTCCTGGAAGGATTAAGGCTTTTAAGTGCCTGGTATTGGAGCTGGCACAGAGCTTTTACACAAGGCAGTGGTTATAAAGTCAGTGTTAATTCTGGTGCCTTCTAAAGCAATACACTCTGTTGCACTGTGGGGTTGTGTTGAGCTGCAGACTGCCAGTAGGTCTAATAAGCTGGGAGAGAATCTGAAGCATTTCTGCAGCCACGGCATCAGCAGAGTGGTACAGCCTATGGTACCCCACCCTTGGAGGTGCCCACAGCCAAGGCTGGGCACAGGATAGCAGAGCTGGGGCAAGAGGAGGTGGCTTTGTGGCCATTGTGCACTGCTCTTACCCCTCACAATGGCTTTGAGGTGATCGGGCTTCAGCTTCCTTGCTTGGGTTGCATCAGTGAGAGCAGAGCGGTAGTTACCTGCGGGCAAAGGAAAGCAGCTCAGAAGCCTGGATTGCACATTTCAGGTACAACTGGGTCCCACAGGCGGCAAAACACGAGAACTGCATCACCGGCCCGTTCGGCAAAGGAGGGACAGCGGGCGGGGGCTCACCCAGGCGGCAGTGCGCGGCCGCCCTGTTGGACAGCAGCACGGCTCGTAGTTCCACGTCTCCGAAGCGCTGCCGCAGCCCCTCGCTGTAGGCCCGCACGGCCCTGCCGTAGTCCTTCTCCCCGAAGTACGCGTTCCCTTCGTTCTTGTACATGGCGGCTAGCTCTGCGGGGCGGGGAGGCGCGGCGTGAGGTGGGCTGCGCGGCTCCGGTAAAACCCGCCCTCAGGGTTGTGGGTGCACCCGCCGCCCCGCCGCCCACCTGCGGGCTCCTTCTCCTCGTCGAACAGCAGGGACTGCAGGCAGGCCAGGGCGGGCTGCCGCGACGCGTCGATCTCGGCAGGGCAGCTCTTCATAAACATAGGGATGGCCTCCAGCTCCTACGGGCACACCGTGTCAGCCCGCACCGCCGGCCGTAACGCCCGTAAACGCCCGCCCGGCCCCATCGTCGCCTCACCTGCTCCCACGTATCGGGATGGAAGCCGTTCCGGTACCGCGGCACCGCATCACCGCTCTCCCCGGCGTCCGCCATGCTGCTACCAGCCCGTCCGCTCTGCTACTTCCGGCCTCGTGTCGCCCCCTTCCGGCCCACGCTCCACCCCCTTCCGGCTCCGCGCCGCCATTTTGCCCGCTGTGGGGAGCGGGGCGCCCGTGCGTGCGGCAATAGGGATGGGGCTGCAAATGGCTGCCCTCGTCCTACAGGTGTTCAAAATCGCGGGGTTGCCGCAGAGGAACGGGGTTGGTGGGCTGCGGACCTGCTGTCTGTTCCAACGTTAACTGCTCTATGATGAACCACGAGGACAGCCCCACAGGGAACGTGGGCTGACCCGGCGCGTCCCCGCCCCGCAGCACTGCTGTTAAGCAGTTCCTTAACAACGAACCGCGCTGTTCAGGCCCACTCCGCGCTGCAAAGATTTGGAGGCGGGGACTTCAAGGGAGTTGCACTTTACTTAGTAACTCAATGACACCTTCCTTGGTGAGGTAAAAAACCGTGCCAGAGCTCTGATCCCAAACCTCAAAGACCGGGGGGTCCTCGCAAGCTCTCTTCCCGGCTATCACCACATAAGGGTACCCCAGCTTGTTGGCATCTTTCAGCCTTTTGCCAATTGTCATCTGCGTCCTATCATCCAGCACCACATCGCCCACCAGGCCAGGCAGAGCTTCAGCCACATCATCATAGAGCTGCTCCAGCACTACAGCTCCCTGCTCCTCCTTGCTGCCTTTCTTGGGGGGGATGAAGCACACCTGGTAGGGTGCAATGAGGCTCGGCCAGCGGATGCTGTCCTCTGTAGACAGCACCTCAATGGATGCTGCCAAGATGCGAGTGACACCCAGACCGTAGCAGCCCATTTCTGCTAGCTGGAGCTTGTTCTCAGGGGTGTAGAAGATGGCGTTGTGGACAGAGGAATACTTGGTGCCCAGATAAAATGTGTGCCCCACTTCGATCCCTCTGCTCTGGGTGAGTTTTTCTCCACATGTAGGGCACGCTGTTTGCTCTTCATCCATCATCTCCACGTTAGCTGCGAAATGCCCAGCAGGGCACAGCACCAACCTGTCCTCGCCGATGTCAGCCGGCAGCTGGAACTCATGGGATGCAGTGCCACCAATGGTGCCAGTGGCTGCCCGCACTTGGACGCAGCGCAGGCCCAGGCGCTTGAAGAGGCTGCAGTAGGCTCTGCACACCAGCTCATAGGTGTGACGTGCTGCCTCCTCTGAGGCATCAAAGGTGTACATGTCCTTCATGTAGAACTCCCTGCTACGCAGCAAGCCAAGGCGGGGCTTGGGCTCATCCCGGAACTTTCTGGTCACCTGGTAGAGGCGCAGTGGGAGCTGCCTGTAGGACAGGTTGCTATGTGCGGCCACCAGTTCAGTGACAGCTTCCTCATGCGTGGGGCCCAGGCAGTACTCCTTGCCGTGCCGGTCAGCCAAGCGGAACAGCTCTGGCCCCATCTGCTCCCAGCGCCCGCTGGCCCGCCACAGCTCAGCAGAGCTCAGGCTGGGCATGTTCACCTTCTGCCCGCCAATGTTCCGCATGGTGCCGTCGATCAGGCGGATCAGCTTCTCCATGGAACGCACGGCAGGTGGCAGGAGGTGGTAGCAGCCGGGGCTGGCGGGGTGGATGAGGCCACCCTGCAGCATCAGCCGGTGGCTGCGGCAGCTCAGCTCCGCCGCCTGGCCCTCGCATCCTGCCACACCACCCACCTGCAGGTTCAGAGGCTGGAAGAGCTGTGAGAGCAATAGGCGTGCATGAGCTGACGTGTCGTGCTGGGAGCTGCGGGCCTGCAGTTGCGGTCCTGCTGCTGCTCTGAGCACAGGGAGCCCCATCCGCAGCAAGCCCAGCATCCTGCCTGTAGGGAGGAAGCAGCAAAACAAGGAGTTACACGCAAGGTGCTGCAGCTCAGAGTGCTGGTAGCGACAAAAAGGGTGCACCGCTGCCACGTGCTGCTTCGTGCTGGGTGGCAATGCAGCCCCAGCACCGATTCTTACCAGCCCCCAGGCTGGGCAGCACCTGCCTGCAGGTACTGCCCCCCACGTGAACACAGGCACCGCGTGAGCGCGCGCGGACACGCGCTCTGCACGTGCACGCGCGCACCCCGCGGCCCAGCCGCGCGCGCCGGCAGAGCCCGCACCGTCCGCACCGCCCAAGTCACGTGATACACCGCACTGTCTTCCTTCCCGGAAGCAGAACGTGCCGCTGACTCTATGGCTGCTCATCAGCGCCGCCTGCTGTGCGGAGGCCGCGCCGCAGGCTGTGCGGTTGGGGTCCTGCTGCAGGGCTGGGGGCCGATGGCTGGCTGTGGGCAGCCGCCGTCAAGCGAGAAGCCCGCCTGCACTTGTACTCCTGCGTTTTGTACTCGGGCACGGAGAAGCCCCTTCACGCTGCTATGGACCTCTTCTGTCAGGATCTGGTCTCTGTCCAACCTCAGCTCACGCTCTGCAAGACCATGGGAGCTGGAGGCCGGAGCTGGAGCTGGAGGATGCACCATCTCCAAAGAGCACTTCGCCAGGGGAGATGTCACTTTGCTGAGCCTGGTTTTATGGGGGCTTAAGTTATCCCTTTTTAAATATAAAGAAGTAAGAATAAGCTTATCTTTTTATTTAAAAACGAGATTTGGGGAAATCTTCATAATTCTTCTGTGATGAGGAACATGCACTAATGTGCACTGCGATTTATATGAGGAAATGGGAAAGAAAACAGATTAAAGGGCTCACTGTTGATGCTTCTGAGTCAGGAGCACTGCAGCCACTAAAAGCATGAACTGCAAGCACTGCCCGGAGAGACCCAGGGAAGCTGCTCCGCAGCTCTGAGCCAGAGTCTGGCTGCAGGTTTCTGGCTCCAGGATGGTGCTTCCCTCCCAGAGCACCTGCACTCTTATCTTGGTGATGTTTCCCTCAGTGTGCTCCCCGCTGCAATCCAGTAGCAGTGCGCACACAGTCTGGGATACACAGCAGTTGAGCTGCAGGTCCTGCAGGACGCCCTGTGCTGTGGTGTGCAGGTCCTGCTGCAGGGCAGGAAAATGGTCCTGCCCTGTTTCCATCGCCTGCTGGAGCTGCTGAAGCAAAATGTGTTTCTGTCAATGACTTACTGCCTGCTGAGCGGATCAAAGAGGCAAAACATCTTGGATTGATTTGCAGGGCAGTGTTTTAAGTGGGAGGGTTTGAGGCTATACGAGAGACAAGATCTGCAGGGAAAGCTGATATCTCTCATTAAACCAACAGACAGTGCTGGATGAGGAGCTAAGCTTGGAGGCTCGGTGCCTGGGAGCCTGTCTGCACTCTTTTATCTTTTCCAGCTGTGCTGAGAGGGATCAAAATGAGGTTTCAGCCCTCGCCCAGTCACACTGGCTACATCCTGGCTGACCCTGGCCATGATCTTACACAGCTGGGAGGGTCCGTGAGTAGTGCTGCCTTGCACATCTGTCTGGCTGAACTTCCTGAGTGCTTCCATTCCTTCCTGTGAAGCTTCTGTAATTTACAACTCCAGGGTGATGTTTTTATGTCCAATAAAATGGTAATTGCAGGGCTTGTCCTAGAACCTCCTGTGCTCCTTGGGATTGCTCCTCCAGGGAGAAGAGGTGGCACAGGCTGCCACCATCACAGAGCAGCTGGGAAACAGCCGCCAGCTCTGCGTGTCTGCAGATCTGAATGTGTGTCAGACAGCAGAACAGCCCCGAGGTGAAGCTTTAAAAACTGCTGCTTCTTTTAAGCTGCTTCAACTGCTTTTTGGGTCACAGCCTGTGATGCTGGGGCTGGTCAGGCACTGATTTTGGCCATGTCCCTGGCTTGTGAGATAAACTTTACTATCAAACAAATCTCTATGTGTTCGGTACAACCCCTTGGAGGTGCCGTGTGGGGACAACATCCTTTGCACCCTTACAGTGCTGGGGCAGAACCGGGTCATGCTTCACGTAGTAATGTGTGTGCCAGGAGGGGGGCACTGCATCACTGGTGGGAGTCAAGTGTGGGCTGTGCTCAGTGAAACTGCACTTGCTTGGCTTTGCCAGCATGCATGGCTCAGAGAGATTGAGGAATCCTGCAGTGAGGACTGCAGGGCTTGGGGCAGCCAGGCTGGAGCCCCCAGTATAGCTACAGAACCTCAGAATGAGTGGCAAGTGACAATGGTGAGGGCTGCCATGGTGAAGGCTGCCATGGTGAAGGATGTCACAGCAGCCCTGGTGACCAGAGCCACCAGTGTGGAACATGGGCAGCCAGGTGAGGCCACCAACTGGGCTCACAGTGGAGAGAGCAGAAATTCCTGATGTAGCTCCTGAATTGTCATGCCTACTTTGCACAGCAGTCAGAGGCACCCACTGGGGAGCACCCTAGAGTGTCTATGTGGGATGTGGGCTCGTGCTCTGGGGAGCCACTTCCCACCCATCAGCAAAACCCTTTATTAGTGCTTTAATCTGGGATGAGTGACAAAGACAGCATGTGAAGCAGTGGCGTATGTACAGTTGTGCTCTGGCTCTGCCTTGCAGGGGACAGCACTGGCCTCTGGCTGGGCCAGAGCAGAGGCAGGATCCCGGGCAATTCAACTGCCCCATTTCCAGCTCAAGGTGATGCTGAAGAAACGCAAACAGCAGGTAAGAGACAGATTTGATCCACCCTCCTTGTGCTGGCATCCAAGAAGCATTGGCAGTGTTGCCTTTGATGCTCAGCCTATCCTTACCATATTTTTCCTTCTGCAGCAAGAGAGGCTGGGCCCAGGAACGTACAACATCAGGGATTTTCTGCAGGAGAAACAGCCTTCGAGCCTGAGAGGCATCTGTGACACAAGGGAGCAGAGGTTCAGGGAAAGCCAGCGGGTGTGTTGCAGCCTGACTTGGGAGCTGCTGGCATCCCTGTGAGCATTTTCCCTGTCAGCAGAGCTGGAGGGGGCTGCCCATCCTGTCCCATCTCTCCTGCAGGACTGCTTTCCTGGGCCTGGCACCTACGGCCCCCAGGGGAACCCCTATGCTCTCCTGGAGGAGAGGGACAAGCGCTCTCCCAGCACACGAGGGCTGATGGACAGCAGGACAGAGAAATGTGTCTTCCAGACAGCCACGGCATGTCCTGCTCCTTGCCCTGGGATTGTGGTGTGTGCCCCCGGGGTGGCTGTGTTTCTCTGCTGGAGGTTTTCCTGCCACTTTCCCTCTGTGCCTGCAGGGCAGTGGTTTGGGACCTGGCACCTATTCCCCATGGAGCAGCACTAAGGAGCAGCTGCGACAGGCAGGCAGGTGCATCCCCCGCCACGTCTCCTTGAGGGACAAGCTGAAGCCTGCAGGTGGCCGGCGGCGCAATGGGGAGGTGTGTAACCTGGACTTGGAGCTTTCAGTAAGCTGTGGCATCACCACCACAAACATGTAAGATGGACAGCTGCTTTATGTTGCACCTCAAATCTTGAGTTTTGCTTTTTGGCTTTCTTGGATCTTAGCAGCCTGGTAAGACAAATCGTTGCAGCAGGAGAGCATGCCTGTGAACACTGAAAGGCCCAGCTCTCACAGTAAGGGGTGTTTGGGGTGGCTGGAATGACCTCCAGCAGCTGAGCCTCACGCTGCTCCTGTGGCCCAGCAGGGGGAAGGCACTGAGCTGCACGCTGGCACTGCCAAGGGGTTCCTGGATGAGCTGATGTCAAAGGAGAACAAGAAGAAAGGCTGCTTCAGCACACTGCCACGGAACCCAGGCTGCCCCACAGAGAGGATCTTCTGGGCCACACTCAGCCAGTGCCCGAGGGATGCGGTCAGTGGCAGTGGGGTGTTTCATTTCCATCCTGCCCAGGCTGCTGGGCTCACATGGTGGTGTTGGGTGCTGGGCAGTGCTATGGGGCTGCTCTTCTGGAGAGCAGATGGAAGGGTAAGAAATTTCCTTCTGTACAGTATGTGGTGGGGCCAGGCTCATATGATCCAAAGCCCATTGAGAGATCAGCAGAATTCAACCAACCCCCGTTCTGGTCATCTGCCAAGAGGTTTGACAGAAAGTCTGAACGCCTCTTCATGGGGAATGAGGTGAGTGAGTACAGGGCAGCCAGAGAGGGACGCAGGAGCCGTCAGACTCTAAGCTTGCCCTGTCACTGTCTCTGATGAGTTGCTGGCACCCAGTGAGAGGACAAATGTCTTCCTGCAGCTGTGGGCACCCAGTGCAGAGCAGGCCCTGAGATGGGCAGCGTGAGCTGGGCTGATGCTGAGCAGAGGGACAGGAGCTCAGCAGCAGCCACGTCACCTCTGCCCTTCTCAGTGCATGCTCAGACAACGCTTCCTAGAAGTTTTGCTCTGCATCAACTGTAGGCAAGGGGATGCATTTCATGGATGAGGACAGCTAGATTACCTGCTGGTGCTAGGAGCTCCTTGTATCCTCCCAAAAAGTCATATTCTGCTACTTAAAAGCCAGTTTTTTTTTTCTCTAGCAGCATCAGCAGCACACTGAAGAGCCAGTGCAGGTATGAGCCCTTCCCCTAGTATCCCTTCCTAGAGTTGTATTCAGCTTTGCAGCTTCCCCACAGAGAACCAGAACAAAGGCTGAAGGGCTCAAAGCAGCTGGAGAAAGCTGTAGTCTCAAATAGTCCATCTTGGCTAGCAATGAGCAGCAGATTATATCCCAGAGGCAAGGTTGCGATAAAGCAGCCCTTGAACTAGCAGTAGGCAACTAGGGAGTGCATTTGACCTAGCAGAGCTAATCAGACCCCTCTTCTCAGTGCTGTGAGATGAGAGGAGCTGCTTGTGGAGAGGACTGACTGGGCTAACAGCACATAGCATGCCTCCTCCTCCCTCCCCTGCAATGCAGACCTTCTTCGGTTAACATATTCCACGTATTGTTTTTTTTTGCAATTGGAAACATACAGCTACAGCCCAATGTTGTCCCAGTGTCAACAGCCACGCTGCCTCTGCAGCGATGGGAAACAACACGCGACCTTCTCTTTCCAGAATGCTGTGGGTGTGGGCCGCTATAATGTCACCAGGCACGAAAAATACCCTCGGAAGATCAGATACCAGTCCCTGTACCAGAGTGACACGCAGCGATACCTGAGCAACTTGAAGCAGGATGCCTACCTGCTGTAAGTGGCATATAACAGGGGCTAGAAGCACTTTCACACCAGCTTGCAGGAAAACC